AATACGATCTTTAATTTTGGCGGAAATATGACGCCATACGCTTGACCTCTTAACCTTTTTTGGTCGGATGCTTTGCGGAAATTTGTGATCATTTTCCAAAACATCGCTTAGCGAGACAGAAGATATAAACATTATAAGTTTACTGTTGTTGTTACAACTGTAAATGCAGCGGAATGCGATCTACGGCACCTATTTTCATGTGTTTTTGTGAAAACAAAACAGGGTAGACATTTGTAATGGGAGAAGATTATCGAAAAACAATGTTACATGATATTATTCGCATCCTGTATTATGTAAGTGTTAGCACTATAGAAGAATTTATGGAATGCTGCCTGTGTGAATCGCGAAAGATGACAGGTTGTAAGCCGCTCGCAAAATTCGTGAAACCTTGTGCTATATATGGTAAAATGATCGATGCATGGCGCGATAAAATGTTCTATGAATGAGAGTGAATTGATAGATCGAGTGACGAAAGCGTTGGTTCAGAACAATCTAATCATCCTCGGAGGTTTATAAACACATCAACAATCCAACACAATAATATATTCATAATCCTTGAACACACTTCTTAAGTTTCCCGGCAATGAGAAAGATTCAAATTAGTAGAACATAAAAATCATATTTTGACAATTATTTCTACTCAGTAGTTCCTGAATTCATACACTGAAATTAATCAGCCTTTATTTAACTCTCGTGGCGAAATATCGGAGTCTTTGTCCTTTGACTCTCTCAAGTTGACTAGCGTCAATTGCAATGTTAAACCTATATTACAACGTGATGTTAAACGTGACTGTCTTTGACTTCGCAGCTACATTATAGAAGGCCTAGAAGCAGCGTCTTTGTCTGTTTCTTGTGTGAAATCTTACATTGAAAAGGAATGAAAGGTCATAACAAAACGAAGCCAATCTTCAGAGAATGACGAGTTTCGTAAGAAGGCAATGCATGATGAAATTATAGGCGATAGCGCCGATAATTACCGAAGACAAAGAACCAAGCCGTCTTTTATAGAGACAACGAATTACAAACATAACACTTTCCTCAGTCGAGACGTCACCGATATATTTTCAGGCTCATATGGGGGCTGCAAACTACTAAACTGTAAACATTCCCAAGTCTTTCAAAAGGCAAAGAAAATAATGAGTATAAAATATATTCCACGTGATGGCCGAACTAATCTTCACTCCTCAGTCTCAGAGAACCAAAACACAACAGAGTCAGAGAGCAGATCAATAATAAAGTAGCTGAAATATCCTCAAAGAGTTGATGACGTTATAATATAGCGCGAATATATGCAATACGCATAGCCACTTTTGATAACTCACTACCCCAACAAAAATAAGAGCGCTAATCAGTAATACCTCCCACACGATCCATCCTACACAACTTTGAAGCAAAGTCATTAGACAGCGATTACAAGAACTACGATAAGAAAGATTACGAAAACGCCAACACGGACACGTTCAAAAATATTACGTACAGCAATTCAACTAATTTATACCCCAACAGAAATAGTGCAGCGTGATACAAGACTTCGAATCATTAATACTCCAGCGATGATATGTCTCCTTGGCCTTGAACAGTTCTACGCAAAGACACCAAATTGTCCAAAATCAACAGGCCGCGTTTAAATTTAGACGTCTTGTAGTGTATACGTCCAGGAATAGCCTTCGCAACACAAGAGATCATTTCCAAATGTACAGAATTAGAAATTAGGCTGAATACAGAACACTCACTTACCCAATAAAAGAATTGCGAATCACATTCGTCCGAGCGAATAGCCCAGGTACACAAGAGTAAACCGGGCTACAGTCAATATAAAACCTAAAGTACATAGCCACAAATAAATACGGAAATCATAGAACGAGACACAGATATCTCACCAACCAATATACAACCTATAAACTATACACCATTAACTAAAGCGCTAATGCGCCCCTGTGAAACTCTTTGTGTTATATCGCCGTATAGACAAAACCAAAGACCAACAGCTCAGACTAGAAATTAGAATGCAAATCGCTTTGCAAACATCTGCTGTCACAACAATTTCACGGGTATGCTCAATCGAGCGCTTGTTGACGACATTCTATACGCCATCTACGTCACCCGCGGCGCTCTGACGCAACACTAGTCCCCATACCTCGACGTCTTTCCGAAAGCATTTGGCACAGTCATGTGCATCGCATACGTCACTGTATCACGTCTCGGAGCTGGTAAATGTAAGCGAAAACGAAATTTATGCACAGTGTTGAAGAGCTCCTAGCATAGAGCGGTTCTCAAAAAAATACTAAGTCTGCAAAAGGGACAGTGTTTGCGTATTATTTGCAAAGATAGAACAACATTTGGAATACGGAAAGCTAATAAAGAATTTATGGTAAAGCTGCCTGAGCTGGCGTTAAATTTTGGAAACAAAGACAGCTAATATATCTGTAGGTGAGTTGCCTATTAAATTGTTAATATCTATCTGCATTCTGTATTATTATAATGAATATGCAGCATGCTTTTATTTGCATTTATGCATTTCAAAGCTAGCAATGCTAAATATTTTCTATTCTGTTTTGGAAAGAAATCCAACCTACACTAGACAAGGAAATTGAATTGGATTTAAAAGATTTGAGCAATTCTATTGATTAATATTGCAATTTAGGTAAGTTAGAATATATATATGTAGTCATAAATATATAGTCATATTACTGTTACTAAGTGAATTAGTTGGCCACGTCAGCTATAGGGGTTTTCATAGAAATGTGTTTCGGTTTAGCTGTATTGTCATCAAATATTTCCGTGCATGCTGCAAGAAACCTGATAAGCTCTGCTTTTGAAAAGGCATAGATTAAATTTAGAATAATCCGCGCCAGGAATAATGTCTAATAGAATTCCCAAGCATGCAAATGTCACGACTAGTTTTAACAAGTTGTCAAACTCTCAATGACTCAAAAGTTTAAAAGGTCATAATTATAGTAAAATATTTATATGGAAGACGCATTAATGCTTATATTTTTAGCACGCGGTTTTTTATCGTTTACAAACGTATCCCGTTTTGGTAGCCTTGCTCCTTTGGAGGGCGTACGTGGTTTGAAATTGGAAAAAACAGTTTAGAAATATATATAGCTATGTATTTATAACAAGGAATTATTGCACATGGAGACAGTGTAAAATTATTTAATACTCAAAGTGATTCCTTTGCGGAAAATTTACAGATATTATATATCAGCGATAGACTATGTCTTCTAGCCTTTGTCAGTTTGTGTCCGACTACTTGAACAAGACTAAAAGGTGTGCGATGTTTTGAATGACAGCTATATAACGTAACTCTTCTTCAGAAGATTACAAGTGACTGCCAGAGGGTAACTGCTCGACCGAACTTCGAAGTGTTTACAATTTTTTTACCGCGTGTTCAGACACAAACCATGGTAGCTTATTGTGGAATACTAATACCTACACTCGACCGCCATGTTTGAGATTTGACAATGTCAATCAATATTACAGAAGGACATTCGATATTTGCCAGTGTACGACTGTACGTGTAACTATCGTTCATGTGTACAAAACGTGCCAGCCTGCCAGGGGTTAACCTTTATTAAAAAAGGCCCTTTGCACTATACTAGCGAAACTTGAGAACTAAAATTTTAGTTCTCAAGTTTCACTATAGTGTAGTGCAAAGCGCCTAAAAGAGGACAGGTTTAATGAAGGTATAGGAAGTTGAATTGAAATTCACAGCGCACTATCACATTGAGCAAAATTAAAAGCAAGTTCTTTGTACAATTATTAGAGCATTTGCTTCTCATTTCAGAAATAGGGATTCGCAGTTCTTAGTTTAGTATATGATTATATTTTCTCCTCAATTGTATGCGAGTGCTTCCAGTTGGACTTAGTACCAAACACCGACATGTTTTCTGCGCGTGTATTCCTGTTTCCCCCTGCCTGTAGTAACACTGGATCAATAAGAGATGATCTTTACTGGACCTCTAGGAAGAACAGTTTAGAACTGATAGAGCTATCCAGTACAAATAAAGTTAGTTTAGTTCAGGTTTCCTCCTGTAGTAACACTGGATCAATAAGAGATGATCCTTACTGGACCTCTAGGAAGAACAGTTTAGAACTGATAGAGCTATCCAGTACAAATAAAGTTAGTTTAGTTCAGGTTTCCTCCTGTAGTAACACTGGATCAATAAGAGATGATCCTTACTGGACCACTAGGAAGAACAATTTACAATTGATAGAGCTATCCAGTATAAATAAAATTAGTTTAGTTTAGGTTTCCTCCTGTAGTAACACTGGATCAATACGAGATGATCCTTACTGGACCTCTAGGAAGAACAATTTAGAACTGATAGAGCTATCCAGTATAAATAAAGTTAGTCTAGTTTAGGTTTCCTCCTGTAGTAACACTGGATCAATAAGAGATGATGCTTGCTGTATCTTTAAGGAGAACAGTCTAGAACCGATAGAGCTATCCAGAATAAATAAAGTTAGTTTGGTTTAGGTTTCCTCCTTACTGGACCTCTATAGGGAGAACAGTTTAGAACTAATAGAGCTATCCAGTATAATAAAACACGAAACGATAGACACACTGAAAATTGTAAACATTTTCATTCTTTACATTTCGACTATTAATTTAAGTCATCTTCAGACGAATGCCACGTTTACAAAGCCCACATTTTTTTTATTCAATATAAATAAAGTTAGTTTAGTTTAGGCTCCCTCCTCATGTGGTAACACTGGATCAATAATAGATGATCCTTGTTTGACCTCTGCTGATCTAGGGAAAACAGTTTAGAGCTGATAGCATTTCCTCCTGTAGCAACACTGGATCAATAAGAGATGATCCTTACTGGACCTCTAGGAAGAACAGTTTTAAGAACTGATAGAGCTATCCAGTATAAATAAAGTTAGTTTAGTTTAGGTTTCCTCCTGTAGTAACACTGGATCAATAAGAAGTGATCCTTAGTATTCCTTACTGGACCTCTAAGAAAAACAGTATAAATAAGTTAGTTTAGTTTAGGTTTCCTCCTGTAGTAACACTGCATCAATAAGAGATGATCCTTACTGGACCTCTAGGGAGAACAGTTTAGAACTGATATAGTTATCCAGTATAAATAAAGTTAGTTTAGTTTACGTTTCTTCCTGCATAGTAATACTGGACAAATAAGAGATGATCCTTAATGGATCTCTAGGGTTCTAGTTTAGAACTGATAGAGTTATCCAGTATAAATAAAGTTAGTTTAGTTTAGGTTTCCTCCTATAATAACACTGGACCAATAAGAGATGATCCTTACTGGAACTCAAGGGAGAACAATTTAGAACAGATAGAGCTATCCAATATAAATAAAGTTAGTTTAGTTTAGGATTTTTCCTCCTCTAGTAACACTGGATCAATAAGGGATGACACTTACTGGACTTCAAAGGAGGGCAGTTTAGAGAACTCATATATAGCATTCAAATATGAATAAAGTAAGTTTAGTTTAGGCATCCTCCCTTAGTAACACTCAGAGCAATGGACTTCTATGGAGAACATTTTGGAGAGTTATATAAAGATGGCATTTACTGGACCTCCAGGGAGAGCAGTTTAGAGAAGTGATATAGAGCTATCCAGCATAAATAAAGTTTGGTTAAAGTTTCCCACGTTGTAACACTGGACGAAAAGAGAATATATAGGCCTTACTGCACTTCTATGGAGAACAGTTTATAGAAAAGCTAGCCATTATATTATAAAGAATGCATAGCACTTACTGCATCATGGATTCCGGCCAGGAAGAACAGTTTAGAGAAGACATATTTGAAATATAAATAAAGTTTTACGTTTGACTATTTTAGAGTGACATGGGACTTTTCAATTATTAAGTCAGGGGGTAACATTGCTTTAAGTAATGCCCAATATATTTTACTGAAGCACCTTTTACGAAATTGTCCTCAATATACACACGATGATATTAAACGGACATGCAAAAGTGCACGATTTTTTTAAACATTTTTAAACCTATATCAGAGGAACTAGTCACGTACGGGCGAACCCCCAAATGGCATCAAGTTTCCTATTTCTCCAAATTGCTTTCCTGTAATTATAATTTATGTAAGTCATCATGAATTATATATTGTTGAAGAGACTTGGACCAATTATGCAATCATTGGGGTGTTTAAGATATACAGATCAGAAGCCAGTGTACAAGCGAATGGTTTAAACAAAATACCATTTAATGAATTTGCCTGCTTTAAAGCATCGTACGAATTTGCCTGCTTCTAAGAATATCGTGCGAATTTCAGCTACTTTTGAAACCGGTTAAACAGGATTTTGCAATACCCGGCTGATGTAGCTATGTTTGGAGGACCGCGGTATGAATAATAATGGTTGTATATGTAATTCTTGAATATGTGTATTTTGAGGTCGTTAAATGAACTATTAAAGCTTAAATTCCTTGAATATGCATGCTTGCATGCAAGGCGAGAGATAGCTATAATTATTTCGTGCATGAAAGGTGAAAAGCCCACGTATTGATTTGGCAAACGTGTTCGACCCACAACTGATGACGAACATTGCCAACATATACGTGATATTTCCACAAAAAAGTCAAAACATTTAGATAATTAGCTTATATTTGACGTCTATAACTTGCATGAGACTTTTAGCCAGATATTTATTTTGTGACTGGATGATAAATTGGATCGCGTGTTGTTGTATTCATATTTTAAGATTAATGTGCAGTGATGCCTTCACTCTTGTAAGGGACTTTTTTTAGAACAGTCAACAACCCCGCGATCGAGCAGGGGGAATTTGCGAGAATTCATGGAAGAAATTTCCGGGTATGATCATGTATCGACGATCGCCTACGAGTCGGTCATATTTATATAGGATTATGGCATTTATTAAGCAAACATTTCATTAACTGGTGTAGCTTACCTTAAAAAGTGATCTGATGTTGTACAGAACTCTCTGCCAAGTTAAACCTATATACTGTATAGTATTATAGTTAGGTCATGCTCAGCTAGTACATGTTCAATTCTTAGTGATTGTTGACTACCGTCACTTGTGTAAAAACTGACTCCCGAAGTCAACTGTTCTTGAGCAATGCCGGGGGGGTATCTTAATTAAAGTGATCTGATCTCTGGGTGTTGTATATAGTCATACAGCACTGTTGAGATCATGCAGAGGTAGCTAGTACATTATATCTCTTGGCCTTGTCCATAGAAAACGCCACGTATGTTTATTATTGTAACGTAAATTTACGAATGAGGCAGTTTAGTTCTTGAAGGGAATTTCTCTTTGTCTTTTATAATTAGTTCCATTCAAGAAATCACAACTGAGACAAAGAGAAATTTCGCTCCGCGTGGAAAATTCCGCCGCCTAGATGAAAACGGCCTTTATTATAGGGTGACCTCACGTTGCATACAATGCATGCAGTGACTAGTTGCTGAGCAGCCTGAGCTAAAGATAGTTAACGAGCTATAGTCAAAGTGATCTGATGTTTGCAAAACCTATTTTAAACATGCAAAGATGCGATACATGCTTTTGAATGTGGGCTGTCTTGAATTTTGTTATCTTGTTTAAGTAGCTCGAATCTTGAGTTCACAAGGAAGGCATAATATTCGGAGTGCATGCGTTTCATTTTATATTTTGCGAAATCAGTTGTCTGCTGTACAGAACTCACTGCTGAGTTAAGCATGGTTATAGACCATACAGAGATAGTACATGTTCTTGAATGTGAGATACCTTTAAAGTGATCTTATCTTGTACAGAACTCATTGCTGAGCGGTTAAGCATGGTTAGATCATACAGAGGTAGTACATGTTCTTGAATGTGGGCTACCCGAAAATGATCTGATGATGTACAGAACTCACTGCTGAGTTAAGCATGGTTATATAGAGGGCCCATAGATCGTGCCCAAGTTAATCAGATGTTTTATACTGAAAATCACTGCTAAGTTAATCAGTACTAAAGATGGTTAGATTATCAGACTCAGTACACATACTAAAACTACTCTTATTTCTTGCAGATTTTCTCGTGCGAATACAATGACAAAGTCAGAAATGCAATGGGAAGACAATCTGGACGCCGAGCGAGCGAGCACCATCGCGAGAAGATTCGCGATCGAAGACTTAGCCTTAAAATATCGTACGTCTTTAAAAACTGCTGAACAATTACTCGCCACGGGCATGGTCGTTGAACGACAGACGCGAGCCAAGAGTCCAAAATCCCCGGATGTCATCGAGATCGATGCGACGGAAGAGATAAAAGTAGAGGTCACCCAAGAAGATATGGAAGTGGACGTCGAAGGGGTTCAATCCAGGCAGGAGCTTTTCCGTGAGAAAAGTTTAAAACAAGAACCATCACATTTTCAAACTAGCACTAGAAGTCCACCTTTCCAGCAACCTGACACCTCCCCACGTTCAAGACAAGCGTTCGTGTGCGCCGCCAGAGCCAGATCAACCAATAACGTCTCGCCATTCCAACGACATACCTATCCCGAACCGCGATTCTCAACCCACACCTGGCCATATCGTGTAACGTACCCGCGCATCACCAAAAACGGGATTCTTTCTCGCAATTATCCATTCCTGTACACGATTGCTGGGTCAAAAACCCAACCAAGATACGTGCCCATCGACCTGCTAAGAAACCGCTTCCGTTGGGCACAAAGAGCTAGTCAGGAATTTAGACCCCGGGTTTTTAACACGCCGGACGAAAGACATCGGGTACCTGCACCCACGGAACAAAGACCGCGGGGATTTACACCACCGGAAGAAAGTCCCCGGGCATTTGCATTCACGGAAGAAAGACCCAAGACATTTGCACCCCCGGAAGAAAGACCCCGTGTGCGGACCTTTGAAGAAGAAAAGGCGCGATTGTTATACGAGAAAAGACCCCGAGTCTTCACCTTCGAGGGAGCACAGCCCCGGCTACACGAAAAACGACCACGTAGCTACGAGGGGAATTTCGAAACAGAACACTCAAACACAGTGAAGCCACGTCGCCATAGTGACGATGCTGTGACTAATTCCAATCGCCCCAGCGTACTTGTGATGCAAAGACCGCTCAGTAACCCCTCAACCCCTTCCAAAGAGCATAGAGACGAGTCAAATTACGAACAATGTACATGCAATGATGAGCATCACGATTCAGATTCCTCGAGTACGCCACCATTAGCTCAAGAAGGATCATCGTCCAGTGGCGAAAGCAACAAAGGTAAGATCAGTGGGAAGTTTGATTATTTGATTATTAACGTTTCTTAAACTGATATGGCAGCTAACAACGGCAAAGGCAGAAAGCATTCAGTAAGAATTCAGCTATGCCGTATAGATAAAGTTAGTTTAGTTTAGGTTTCTCTTGCAGTAACACTGGATCAATAAGAGATGATTCTTAATGGATTTCTAGGCAGAACAGTTTAGAACTGATAGAGCTATCCAGTATAGATAAAGTTAGTTTAGTTTAGGTTTCCTCCTGTAGTAACACTGGGTCAATAAGAGATATCCTTACTGGACCTCTAGGAAGAACAGTTTATAACTGATAGAGCTATCCAGTATAAATAAAGTTAGTTTAGTTTAGGTTTCTTCCTGTAGTAACACTGGATCAATAAGAGATGACTCTTACTGGACTTCTAGGGAAGAACAGTTTAGAACTGATAGAGATATCCAGTATAAATAAAGTTAGTTTAGTTTAAGTTTCTCTTGAAGTAACACTGGATTAGCCTGTGTACAGTAACGGCTGTACACAGGCTACACTGGATCAATAAGAGATGATTCTTACTGGACTTCTAGGAAGAACAGTTCAGAACTGTTATAACCTGACTGGATGACCAAATTTAGAACTGACAGAACTATATCTTGTAAATTTAAATTTCTAGTTAAATTTCCGAAAGCCACATGTACTAATCAGCGTCTTTTTATTTCCCTTTCAGAAGACAAACCTCACAAATGTCAAATTTGTGGCCGAGCCTTCCGAAAACACAGCGCCCTCGTCATTCATCACAGAGTGCACAGCGGCGAGAAGCCTTACCGCTGTCCAGAATGCTCGAAGAACTTCTCAATATCCGGGAATCTACGACGTCACTTCCTCATACACACGGGCGAACGGCCTTACGTTTGTCCAGATTGTTCGCGGGCATTTAACAACCCCAGTCACCTGACCAGACACAGGAGGAAACTACATAACACAAATAATGCGAAGCAGACAGAAAATTGAACAATACATTTTTGAACAATTGAAAGACAGTCGTAAAACATTCGGGAAAAGTTCGGTGAAGAATCGTTATTGATATAATGGTATCGGAAAACAGTCGGTGAGGAATCGGGAAGCGTCGTAAGAGATCGGAAATAATCCGAAAATAGTCGTGAAGAGTTTGGAAACAAAAAATCGGAAACAACTCGAGGAGTAATCGTGGATAGATCATGAAACAACCATAAACATAGCGACAATGCATAACCTTTTTTATGCAATTATAAAAATGAACTCATGTAAACATCGTGAAATTATAGACGCATGGATTTATCCATCATAGATACGTTTGTTTATAACACAAGACAATTCATATTAATTTATAAATACCATGGAGAGAAAGTAATTAATATTACCAATTGCAACAAATATGTTAATTTATAATTAGTTAAGTTGTAATTAGTTAAGCTGTACATAAATATATGAAAAAACATTGAAACATCCAACTACCCGGTGTCCAAAAAAAACTGGACACTGCTTGATTTCATGTAATGTAAAACTAGCTATCCCAATGAAATAACGATATATAGCACTTGAATTTACATGCAATATTGAGCAAGATACAACCAAAATAGAAATATTTATTAGTTAATTAAAAGGTAATTATAAGGTTGTTTTATGCAAATTTGTGACATTTTCAAAAACAGTAGTTCAACGTTCAAACACAATAGCGCATTCAATTTTGCATGTAAATTCAAGTGCTATATATCGAAATCTAAGTTAATCCATTCTGAATGCAATGATCTTTATTTCAATGCGATGTTTTTGCCTTTACGTTCACATGAAATCAAACAGCGTGGGACACCCGGTAGTGTCCCGTCCGCGTGCAACGCGGACAGCATTAATCCTTACGTAGTAAATGATTAGTAACGTGTTAATTTATTTTAATAAAAAATTTCAATTTGATATATTCGCCCAACTGTGTTCTTTTACACCGCACGAAGTCAATAACCAAGAGCCGATTGTCAAAAGCTGTTAACCCCCAGGTTAACGAAAAAGTGAGGGGAAAACTTCAAAACAAACTTCCACAACAGCTTGTTTTTCCAAGAAATCTTTTTCCAGAAATCTTCTCTGAATCAGCAAAAAGTTTATTTTCTGAAGTGTTGTAATAATCAGACGTGCAAAAATACTCAAACTAAAAGAGCAGGTTAAATTTAACCCAGGATTAGCGCTAATCCAGCTTTGATCACACGGCCCCGGGTTGTGAGCAAAGGGTCAAATTCAAAGATGAACGCCTCTATTCTAAAAGCTCACTCACTGCTCACACTCAAAGAGTGGAGGTTCAACTTGAGCTTCCCTTGAGTGTCATTGCTGTTTTTGAATAGCTGGAGAGTTAG